GACCAGGTGAGGCTCCCCCTGAGCGCAGCCCGCGGTGAGCTCCGTCTTTCCTGCCTGCTCTCAGGCCGCTGTCACCCTCACCAAGAGGAGCTCCGGTCAGGCAGCGGAGCTGTCTGAAAACGCCTTGCTTTTGTCTTTATTTAGCTCAGGCTCCTAAAAAAAACTGAATTCGGTAGCTTGGTGTGTTACAGAGCAGGAATCCGGCGCTGAGGGAGGTCACCAGGTGTTGAAGTTAAGGCGCCCTTGATATCCAGTATTTTAACTGTGGTCACTTAAACCAGCTGTCTCAGTAACTCGAATGTGTAGCAAAACCTTTGGCAGCACTAACTGATTTCCTGTATGTAGCTGAGAAAAAGACTTAAGGGAATGCATTAGACGTGGTTGTTAACACATAAAAATGTGTTGTCTGGTACCAGCAAAAACGTTTATTCTTTTTGTGCCCAAATTCTACCTATGTCTGCAAAAATGAAATTTCTCCTTTCACTCATATCTTGCAAGGATTTCGTGCTAGGTGTGTTCTGAAGTTCAAGGAGCCTTTCAGGGCTTGGGAGATATTTGGGACTCTGTTAGTGTGTGAGCAGACAGAAGCTCCCTCAGGCCATTTGCTTTGAAATTATTTTCAGAATTTTCTTGTGACTTATCAGACAGAACTACCTTACTAGCAGCTTCTGTAGATACTGCCTTCTAAGTAAAGGGTGTAAGCACTGTCTTATTGCTTGCTTTAATTGACTTGTTACATTGTCATTATTACTAAGATATAAAAGGCTGTAAAGCTGTGAGAAGTCTTTTAGATTGCTAGGTACCAATCAGTGTGTTAGAGGAATAAATAAGAAAGTTATTGAAAAACTTCAATGATGCACTAAATACCTCTTTTTGTTTCAAAGCATATTTTGCCCAAAGGATAAAAATAACAGATGTTCCTTATTTTCTTGTGAAGCTTACAGATGTTAATTCTCTAATTTCAGCCCATACAAATGGAGAACCCCTATAAAGAGCCTCCTAAAAAATGTGTCTTATGTGGAATAAATGTGGACTACAAGAATGTGCAGGTGAGTTTGAAAATTCCTGTCCTTAGATGAAGGTAACTGGTTTACTATTTTTAAATGTGTGTGTAGGAAGGCCACAAGGATAAAAAATGAAAAATTAATTAATGTATGTAGGAGTTTAAAACTTATGAGTAAGAGTGTGTGCAGATTACTGTCAAATAATGTAGTTGTGATAAGCTGTTCAATCTACTAGTCTTATGTGCAGGTGTTACAACTTTTTTATTTACCAAATAGAGTCCTCAATTCCAATTCTGCTGTCACATAACTTAAATGTTATGGCATATAAAATACTGTCTTAACTCCAAGCTATACTTTTTCTCATCTCCAGGTAGAACTGAGTTTTGTAAAAACAGATCAAACAATGAAAAATAGAATGCAAGTAGTAAAATAAACTAAAGCTCTCTAAAAAAAGTTCTTAACTAACTTTGGATTTCTTAATTTTAAATAGCTTCTTTCTCAGTTTGTTTCTCCTCATACTGGCTGCATTTATGGCAGGCATATAACAGGTATGTGAAGTATTAAATTAAACCATTTACTAGTTAATATTCATGTTCTTGTGAGTTCAAGTAACAGTGTATCAGCTATCTTTTGAAAAGTAACTACTGCCAACCCTATACATTTTGTAATAGTATTCCTCTGACTTAGTAGCCTTCATTAAGGAATGAAAATATCCCTTAAATTATATGAGTTTTTTGTATTTAACAGTATAAGCACACCTGCATTTTTCTAGAAAGACTTAGACAAAGCTAGAGGGAATTGTCAGTAATATCGCTTTCACCCTTTAAACTAATGGTTTAGTTACTGTTTATTTAAGAGACTGAAAATGACTTCTCTCCTTAGGCTTGTGCAACAAGAAGCAGAAGGAAATTACAAAAGCCATTAAAAGAGCTCATGTGCTTGGTAAGTATGATTATGCTTTTGAGTTTTCTAAGTCAAGCCTACTTTCCTATTAAAAAACCCCTCCATCTTATCTCTTTACAGGATTTATGCCAGTTATGTTTAAGAACCCATCATTTCTCACAGACCCCAAGATATGTAATGTCAAGTATCCAGAGTAATATACTATAAAGAAATAAACAATAAAACTACTTTTCACATTTATATACTTGTTTACTGGAAATGTGGTTGGCGAGCATAATGCACCACTGACTGAAGGGTGGAGGTCAGTTTCTTTTTTTATTAAGTGTCAAGTCTCTAAAATTGTCTGAAGGAAGTACGAAAGATGAAAGCAGTAGTAGAAAGTGGCAACTGTATGTACCACTTCCTCTGCTCACAGGTCTTGCTAAAGTTCAGGTGGCTATTTTTCCCTTGCTGGATTGGAAGGGGGGAGAAATAAACAAATGGTGGATAGCCAAGGATAAATTAAAGTATTTAAATTGTGGCAATTTATGTTGACAGCTAATTCTGTTAAGCATGTTACGTGTGTTCATTTGATGCTCCCTGCCTCAGCTCCTGCTGAGGGAAGGGCAGTACTGCTTCTTCAACAGCAGCTTGAAGTTGTATTACTCTGAGGCAGTATGGGACATGGTTATGACCGCTAACATACTGCTAGCATAGTCTTTAAACCCTGAGAGAGCATATACCGATTTAACTCTGGAAGGCAAAATGAGGGAATGTCATCTGGACTTGGCTCTATGCCAAACAGGATTCAGGCATTGGAGGAAAAAAAACCCAAACCTGTATGTCTTGCAAAAATGCATTTTTTTATCCCTGCGGTGCTATAAATTGATATGTCACTTGAATACGCTGGCAGTAACTTTTGGTGCAAAGTCATCTGGACAAATCATTAACAGATCAGAAAGTAGGAGAGTGTGGGTATTCATTTGTGTCTCTAATTTTTTCCAACATGTCCTCATCTGTTTCAGTGCTACTCAGAGTAAGCTTCCTTTCCTGGTCACTGTCCTCTTGGTCTTGAAGTAATTTTTGGTGAAGCTGCAGCGATCTTGATTTCTTGAATGACTTTGATCCTGTTGTGGTCCCTCTGACTTTACGCTTGGTTAGGTGTCTTGTTTCAGCTTCAGTGAAGTCTCTTTCCTCTACTATGAGAGTCAGTTTGTCCATGACATTAATATTATGGTCAATGTTACAGCAGTTCTTGGATATCTGTCGGCCTTTGAAGGAAACAATACATGTCTGAAGTCCAGAATTGGGGAAAAATGTTTGCAGTGCCTGACAAAGGAGAACATTCTCCTTTGGCTCTCCTGGGTAGTCTCTGTCTTCTCCTGGAAGAAAAAAAAGCTAGAGTTTTAGTCCCTCTTGCACACTTCTACCACTACTACTTTGGCTGCCTCAAGTTCAGAAGTATTTTGTCCTTCTGCCAATTGAATCAACTTTGGAAGTCTTACTAAGACTGGCATTGCATTTCTTTAACTCACCTGAACAACTTTGTTGCTTTTTCCTCTTTATTTCTTCTTTTAATTGGCTCACCTCTGCTAAGAGTTTCTCTACAGATCGTTCACTGGCTTCTACTGTGGAGCATATTTTCTGCAAGGAAAAGAGCATTTGATGGAATTAATAGTATTCACAGAAGCTGACTTTAACCTTGTTGCAAAATCCTTAAAGGTACTCATGATTTTAAGTTAAACATAAAGTATTAAAAAGCTTAAGTAATGAGCTTGAGGTGGATTTTAGAGATAACTTAAACTTTGTGTTGAATGAGGTGCAAGATGTTTTACTTGTTCCCATATAAGCAAAGGAGCTCTGACAAACTACAGATAGTGCTCCTTCAAAATAACCCTCTTGTGAGAATTTATCAGTGGAGTTGAGAATTTATTAGTGTACTTTTGATCAAATGCAAACTTAAGTCTTCAACTTTGAGAACTTAGTGTACAGCTACTAACAGTAAATGGACTCCCTGATCTTTCAATATGTGCTTCCAAGACACAGCTTTGTTTCTCATTTAGTGCAAGATGGTGTACCCTTTGCTTGACTTGGTGTCATGGTTTAACCCCAGCCAGCAAATAAACCCCACGCAGCCGCTCGCTCACCCCCTCTGCCCCGCTCCGGTGGGATGGGGGAGAGAATCGGGAGGGCACAAGTGGGAAAACTCCCGGATTGAGATAAAAACAGTTTAATAATTGAAATAAAACAAAATAGAACAGTAATAGTAAAAATGAGAACAACAATAACAATATACAAAGCAGGCGATGCACAATGCAACTGCTCACCGACCGCCAACCGTGTGTTATGAACAGGGGGTGAGCCCCCTCACC